TTACAGATCCATTAATATCGGTGACCTAGCCTACATTAGCTGCTGTTTTGTGACGCCATTTAGAGAGATCCAACAAGGTGCTGAAATGATGGCATTAAATAATACTCCAAACAACCCGTGAAGCTATAATCTTTTATTTGGGATCTGAAAGTGCATACATGAACAGTACAGTTCTGAAGTTGGTAAAATTGGGGTTTACATTTAAAAAAAAAAAAAAAAAGGAGAAGAAGTTTAATACCACTTTTCTTCTATAACTCCTCAAAGGACGCACAAGCTGATTCTGATTCAAGACAACAAGCTGAATGTTATTGCATAATCAATACAGTAAATAAACAGTTACAATAACAGTATTTTCTCACAGCAGTAGTCGTACAACTAATGCAGCTAAATCCTTTAGATCAGATACAAAAAAAGAACAAGTGTATACAGACACAATGAAAAGATAAAAATGAAAGATACAGAAACATAATTTTAACAAATACGATAATGCATGTGAGCCAGAGACAGAGGCATCGGATCAAATGCACAGCTCATCGTGAGAAAGAAAACAGATATATATTCTATACTAAGTAGTTCCACATCACGTGACCTGCTAGATCTCATCAGGTTACGGCATGAAAGAAAGGGCAACAGCCAAGAGATTGGGTGAATACAAATATCTCACCAGCCTCCTTCCACCTAATCCATCCCCACATACCACCTCCAACTGACATACTTACTAACCTCCATCATAATACTGTACCTGAACACATGCCACACCATCTTTCTTGCCCTACATAACTAATACCTCAACATAACTGTTTCTGCTGTTACTTTCCCATAAACTAATTACGGTAGACCGATTTTCACTTTCATGCCACAAATCTGTGGTATCTAGCATAAATGCCAACAAACATTTGGAGGTTCCTGAAGGGAAAAAACAAATATTACTGGTACTAAACCTCCTTAATATGATTCGCACATACAAATTCAAGGACTACACAGTTCTAAAGGTCAAACGCTAAATGGCAATCATTTGTTTCTTTTATTTAGTTATAAACCTCAGCAGGCTGGTTAAAGAGCCTATCTTTGATAATTAACATCTGTGTATTTGTAACATATGTGAATATTTGTTACATTTCTGTAGCCACTGTGTATATTTCTATTCATATACAGCAGCAGATACAACATGGTAATGGTTGTATCATTAGGTAGCAGATCATGATGACACTTCATGATCCCCTGCAGGGATCATTTCACCATCTCTATTTTGTTTTTGTTTGCACAGTGATAAAACATTAAGATACACGAAGAGACAGAAAAAGACCGAATTGTGCAAATGCTAATTACAAAGAGGCATGACTTTGCTGAAGTACAAATCCTATTAAGTGGTCAGCTCAATGAAGATGCCACCAACTGAAGATAAATATATATATATATATTAAAAATCAGTGCTACTATGCATCAATCTCATGAGCAACTTGACCATATTTACAAATCCCACATGTCCACCTGCCTTAGTAACAGGGTGAAGACAGTCACAGCATCTCCACCTCAAATGTGGAGTTACGTGTGTGCAAATGCTATGCTTTAAACCTAAACTCCACAGAGCAGTGGTCTTTGTGCACATATAACCTGTGTAAATTGATTTCATATTTTAAATTCTTGCTACAAAATTTACCAATATAGCTAACACTTCATTTTTAGAA